CACGCAAGCAAAAGGGAGTTTATCGGTAAATTTTTTCACTTATTTCACGGTTATTCAAACAAAAACTTACATTTTCCATGTATCAAAATTGCCAAAATCCATTTGCGATAATACAACGGCGAAAAAGCGTTGATCTCTCTCCAAAACCATGTTTTTGGGCGTCGAAACAACTTTCCGCCATACATTTCCTTATAGCGACTTGCAATGTTTGCCCCCTGACGATCCCAGAGTTCTTTTCGCAAACACGGGTATCCGATCACTAGCAACTCATTCATTAGTATGCAAGCCACCGTAATGGCGGTCGCCCTAGGCGAAATGTTTATTTGCTCAAAAATTGGGGCCAAATCTTCCGGAGATGGAAGTCAGGACATTTGTAAGTGTACAGAAAGTAATTTGGGACCAGTTGCTGGCTTCTAGGGCTGAAATTATCCAGAAGGAAGCTCTTTTAACTTGTACGTGAAGAAGACCACGCGGTGAACAAATTGAATAAATTATCGGCTCTTCGCCCTGTCTCGTTCTGTTCTTTTGGAACCCGCCGAGGTCATTTTTTCGTCTAAATCACCTAAGAAAAGTTCGAAAAAGACGCTCCCATTCAATTATTAGCTCTCGGGCAGTAATTCTGGATTTTTTTGACCAAAACCTCGGTTTGTGTTATGTTCGTGTTTTTCAGTTGCTATGGGCGACCGTCGCTTCCTCTGTTGCGTCAATCAAGAAAGGAAGAAACAAAAATTCTAATTAATTCTGGTTTTGTTCAATTTCGCTGACATTTTAACATGATGAAGTTGGATTGTTGAGGAATAGATTTAACTACTGCCGATGTGTGGTAGCTATTAACGCTAAAGTGATAAATCGCTTCAAAGTCAGGGTTTAGAAGAGATTTTTTCTTTTTTCTTTTGCAAAGCATGGGTTCCGCGTGATTTTGTAATCAGAGATTTTTGTCGACCCTGAAGGAAACAATATCCGGAAAAGGTCTGTTCATCGACGATTCAAACCAATATAAATTTATATATGTCCCGAGCTGAATTTCTAGTGGAAAAAATATATTTTCACGAGCGCTGGGTTTTTAATTTTTTTCCCGGCGAAAGTGTATGACAGGAATGATTATGTGTGACCTGACAAAAATAGGTTGAAACGTAATACTGGAAAACACATTATGCTCATGATATGTTTGTCTGTAGTTACGCTCAAAGGTCAAATTGCCAAAGAAATCAATTGTTGAGCAAATGTCTGGGGACGTCAAATATATGTGTGAAAGGAAATTGAAAGAAAAATTTGCTGTAAACTTCACATTTGCTACTATATTAGTTATATTGAAATGTGACAAACGTCAAGTTCACACACACTTTACCTAATATATCAAACACGAGAGACAGTGTTTCATCGGGATATCCAAACACCAAGAAGAGAGTCGAAAATACGACGCGCAGCGAGGTATTTTTGACGATTCTTAAGTGTTTGATATATCTTCTCAATCGAAACAAAAACTAAGGAGTAAAAGGAGAAGTAAAATCGTCAAAATCTATGCTAATTAAGACCGGGTATCCAAACCTTCTTGACGGTTGTGATTTTCTTTGTCTTAACTTGATGAATTATTAATGAGTTTGAGAATGTTAGTTCCCTGGTAAACATGAGCAAATACATTTTTGCGTCCATAGTCTGGCTCTTTAGCACTCTTCGTTTTCTATTTTGACCGTATTCTTTTAAAAAGTCTATCTATTTCCTTTATCTCGTTGTCTAGATGTCTAAATGGTGGGTGTGTGTGTGTGTTTTTTTTACGATATTCAAAATGTTAGTTAATGTTTTGTTGATGAAGAGTTATGGGTCCAAGTCACTGGGGTATTGTCATTTCCTGAAGGAATAAGGTGATCACTGAAAAGTTATCGCGATCTGTATCCATGAGCAGAATGTCCCCTTCTGTCGACACTGCCGCAGAGTGAACATGGATCTTTGCCCAACATAAACACATGCGGTGCAATAAGCCAGACATGACATTCGATGGGATCCAGCTGAAGTCTTGTAAAAATGTAAACATGTAAACAGTCACAAGAGAGGTCTACTTGCACCCTTTCTATGAACTACTGCATAGTATCACAGGTACTGTTACTCTCTCGACGGTCCGAGATGGCGCCACTCTGTTGTTACCGCTGTCAGACAGACAACACGCTGCCAAACAGAGACAGTGAAAGCCGAAATAACAGATGCAGCCAACTATTTGTAGAGGCAAAAACAAGGTTATGCCGATCCCGAGTAAAACCACAGCTGTAACGTCGTTGTGGATATTCTTGCAGCTATTTTTGTTCTCCTCCCGCAGTTCGGCGGTTCTGCAGTTTGCTCCAAAGTAAGCAAATGGCCATGAAAGGAAATGGAGAAACACTAGGAAAAGGCAAAAACAGCATTTAGAACCAATGTTCTCCATACTGGCGTCGTTAAACGAACTGAGCGCCCTTCGCTCGGGACTTCTTCCGGAAAATGTGAGCTATTTTTGTAGCGTGACATGTTATGTTGAGTGTGTGACTGCGAGATCTTGTACCACGATGTATGCTGGGATGTTGTGAGAGCTGAACCATGTGCACGGAGGTTGTGTTAAAACGTACGAAACTTGTGATCTAAAGTATAACTTTTTGAGATTGAAATTCAAGCCTGTAACAGATTTGAGTAAGGGGTGGGGGGAGGGGGGTTTTCGAATCATCTCGTTATCTCTAATTGGAGCATTGGTAGGGTGCAGGGTGCTTCGGTAGCCGAACGATTTACGGACCGAAAGCAATAGGGCAAACTTTACAGTCGTCAAATGCAGTCTAGTATATTACAGTGAAGTAGATAAACCCTACCAAGTCTCAGCTCGCACTTTCTTTCTTGCCTAGAAAGTATTATTAGTGGCCGGTAAAAGTTGTTCTGTTGAGAGAGTTTACCGTGAGTCTACTATCTAGCAAACATTTCATTTAATTATGGACTTTTTATTCACACCAGACTTCATTCATACTTTATACCCATTGAGAATGTGTTTCTCTTTGTTAAAGAAAGATCATGAAAATGTAGTAAGATTAAGTAGGGCCAAAATCCTTCCAGAGAAGGGGCCAGTCGTAGCTAGTGGTGACATGACAACCTCGTTCCCAGGGTCTCTCTCCTCTGCCTCCCTTGGTCTTTGGAAGAAAGATCCTGTTTGCGGCTGGTTACGTGACCACCCAGACTCTGGGTGGTAAAAAAAAATCTGTTGGGCGAGAGGGTTGGCAGAGTGTTTTGATTGTTGCTGTGGCAAAGTTTGTGGGTTCAAAATCCTCGAGCAGTCGATGCTAAAAGCTACCCGCTTTATCGGGGTTGGTTATTGAAATTTGCCGTTGAAGAATGTTTCATTCTTTCTGCCGTCTCCAAAATATAGAAGACTTTCGTTCGCAAAGAAACTCGACAGCGGAATCGAGCTCAAACCTCTCGACGGTTAGCACATGTAAAACATCAGGTACCGAATGTCCCGAATCGAAGTGAAACCATTTAATCAGTCCCTTGAATCTTACAATTCGGAGGTAATTTATTTTCTTCTTTGTGCGGTATTTTGAATGTTAAAAAGTATCTCTGTCACACGGCCGATTAGCCGAGTATTCTGACCTGCATTTGATGTACAGAAATGTAAACCGAGTTACAGTTTGGTCGACAGAAGCCTACACTTATATTGTATTTCATTTGTATCAGGTTTATGTAAGTTTATATTTAGACAGATGTTTAACCACGGTTCCTTGGCATAGTCAAGAATTATATTTTGCAAAGTGGTAAATAAAACACCGCTTTATACAGCGAACAATGTGCCGTGAGGTTAATTTAGATAACATGAAACAGCGAAATAGTTTTAAGCTTACTTCTTAGCAATTCAACCTGCTGGCGGAATTGAAATCAGAGTGATACCTCAATACCCTAAATATATGTATATTTTGTTTGACCTGTGTGGAGCTTAGAGTAAGACTAAGGATAGCGATGACCAGCGATTGCCTTTCTTTCGCTTCAGTTGAGATGGACGGAAAATATT